CTTTCCTTCTTTCCCATTTTTCTTCCCTTCTCCCCTTCCTTCCTTCATTTTCTACCTCTTTCCTTCCTTCCCCCTTTTTTCCTTCCCCCTTTTCTCCTTTCTTCCTTCTCTACCTCTTTCCTTCTTTCTCTCTTTCCTTATTTCCTTTCTTCAAACCATTCTTTTTTTTCCTGTTCATGACTCATTAATTAAAGTGGACGAGCAAGGTGACGAATTAAAGGATTAACCTTAACAGTCCCGTCAGGATTCCAGGGATAATAATTGAGGGAAAAAGCAAAAAGTGTTATCATAAGAATGAGAAGTTATTGTGTAAAAAGTATTTTCAAAGTTATAGAGCAGCTCTGAAGCTAGAATGACCGGTTCAATGTTGTTCTTATTCAGGATTATTGATAACATGCCGGTGACCTGGTGTTATGATGTGGAAGATGGGCAGAAATATTGCAATCCAGGATTTCCAATTGGATGCTTTGTGGCTTCGGATGGCCGAGCAAAAGATGCCTGCATTATTAGCGTAAGTGGTCAAAGCAAACTGCTTCGGTATTTTTGGGCGTTAGATACAAACCTTCACCATTGTGTTGAAACATATTGTTGCAATAGAATGTCAAACAATTATTATTATTATATGTTATTTACAACATTTATATTCTGCCCTTCTCACCTCGAAGGGGACTCAGAGCGGCTTACAAGTAAAAAGTAAATACAATATATTATATTATTATCATAGCACAATATTAATATTATATATTACATTGTACTATAACATTATACTGTAATATTATTAGTAATATTACATTTAATATAAAATATATAATTATCATATCATATTATTATTAGTAGTTGTATGTTGTATTATATTATAATATTATCAATATTATAGGTATATACAATATATTATATTATATTATATCATATCATATTATATCATATCATATCATATCATATCATATTATATTATAAGCACAGTGCAGGAGACAAGATGGAACTGCCTTCCTGGCCCATCTCTTCACTCTGATCTCAAAAACAATGGTTTTGGCACATGAAATTTTGGGTTTGTTTTGCTTCTGGATATGGGGCGTATGTTGGGAAAGATATCACTTTAATACCTTTTGCGCACTGGTAAATTACCATATATACTCGAGTATAAGCCCCCTTTTAAGGCTGAAAAAGCCCCCTCGGCTTATACTCAAGTCAAGGTTATTTATTCTTTTACCCTGTTATTGGTATTATTTTATTACATTTAATATTTTACTCTGTTATTATTTTATTTACATTATTTTGATCTATTATTCTATTTATTATTTTGCTCTATTATTACATTGACTGTATTTTACCCTATTATTATTATTACATTTATTATTTTCATCTATTTATTATTATTATTATTATTATTATTATTATTATTATAATAACATTTACGGTATTTTACTCTATTATTACTACATTTATTATTTTACTCTATTATTACTGTTTTTCTTGCATTTTCATTATTTTACTCTATTATTTTTATTATATTTATTATTTTAATAAGTACATTTACAATGAAGGAGGTTAGAATAATGGTTTAATAAAAGTTGGATAGGCTTATCTTAAATTACAGTTTTATGTAAATATTCAGAAACATTTAGCCTATTGATGCTTCAATTAATGTAATTTTATTGGTATCTATTTTTATTTTGAAACTAGCCGTCCCCTGCCACGCGTTGCTGTGGCCCACATGCGGGTTCTGTGTGGGAGGTTTGTTGGTGGGGTTCAGAATGCTCTGTGATTGTAGATGAACTATAAATCGCAGCAACTCCAACTCCCAAATGTCAAGATTCTATTTTCCCCAAATTCCACCAGTGTTCACATTTGGGCATTTTGAATATTCGTGTAGAGTTTGGTCCAGATCCATCATTGTTTGAGTCCACAGTGCTCTCGGGATGTAGGTCAACTACAATTCCAAAACCAAAGGACACCGCCCACCAAACCCTTCCAGTATTTTCTGTTGGTCATGGGAGGACAGTGTGCCAAGTTTGGTTCAATTCCATTGTTGGTGGGGTTCAGAATGCTCTTTGATTGTAGGTGAACTATAAATCCCTGCAACTACAACTCCCAAAGGACAAAATCAATTTTTTTTTAGTGAAGGACATACATTGGGTTGTTAGGTGTCTTGTGTCCAAATGTGGTGTCAATTTGTCCAGTGGTTTTTGAGTTCTGTTAATCCCACAAACAAACATTACATTTTTATTTATATAGATTGATCCATAGTGGATGCATTTCCCAGCCTCGGCTTATACTCAAGTCAATACGTTTTCCCAGTTTTTTGTGATAAAATTAGTGCCTCGGCTTATATTCGGGTCGATTTATACTCAAGTATATACGATAATTTTATTGGTATCTATTTTTATTTTGAAATTTACCTGTAGTGGCTGCATTTCCCACCCTCGGCTTATACTCGAGTCAATACGTTTTCCCAGTTTTTTGTGGTAAAATTAGGTGCTTCGGGCTTATATTCGGGTCAGCTTATACTCGAGTATATACTGTATGTATATAAGTACATTTCCGTTACCATTAGTGATTGGCAAGTGCTTATTGCTGAAAAAATGAGGAAAAAAAGCTTTTGGGACTGTTTAATTGTAATTTTAAATATCTTTCAGTCAGAGTTCAACAAGAAGAATACCTTCTACCTCTTCAACCATGTTGATATCATAATCACGTATCACAGTGGAAAGGATGAGAACTGGCCCGGTGCCCGTCTGGTTACGGCTCGTCTGGAACCGAAAAGGTAATTTAGGGCTTCTGCTAGTCCATACTCCAGGAAATAAAGCCCAACTCCTCATTGGAGGGAAGGATAGTAGAGGCCAAGATGAAGTATTTTGGACACATAATGAGAAGACAGGAAAGCTTAGAGAAGACAATTATGCTGGGGAAAATGGAAGGAAAAAGTAAGAGGGGCAAAATGGATGGATGGTATCCTTGAAGTGACCGGCTTGACCTTGAAGGAGCTGGGGGTGGTGACGGCCGACAGGGAGCCCCTGCATGGGCTGGTCCATGAGGTCACGAAGAGTCGGAAGTGACTGAACGAATGAACAACAACCAGCCACTTTAAGACTGCATTCATTGTAAGTTCTAGACCAGTGTTTCTCAACCTGGGGGTCGGGACCCCTCGCGAGGGGGTGTCAGAGGGGTCACCAAAGACCACCAGAAAACACAGTATTTTCTGTTGGTCATGGAGGTTCTGTGTGGAAAGTTTGGCCCAATTTAATCGTTAGTAGGGTTCAGAACGCTCTTTGATTGTAGGTGAGCTATAAATCCCAGCAACTACAACTCCCAAATGCCAAGGTCTATTTTCCCCAAACTCCACCAGTGTTTACATTTGGGCATATTGTGTATTCATGCCAAGTTTGGTCCAGATCCATCATTGTTTGAGTCCTCAGTGCTCTCTGGATGTAAGTGAACTACAACTCCCAAACTCAGGGTCAATGCCCACCAGTATTTTCTGTTGGTCCTGCGAGCTCTGGGTGCCAAGTTTGCTTCAATTCCATCATTCGTGGAGTTCAGAATGCTCTTTGATTGGAGGTGAACTATAAATCCCAGCAACTACAACTCCCACAGGACAAAATCAATGCCATAAATCTATATATATAAATCTGTTAGGTTGGTTCAACCGGACAGCAAAATTCACAAACCCCCCAACGAAACTTAACCAAAATTCCCATGCCCATAACACAACCCACAAGGTACAAACATATCTACTCAAAATGAAAAACAACACAACAACACACTCACAAAACGGCAAAACAACAAAACTCAAAAAAAACAACGAAACTTAACCAAAATTCCCATGCCCATAACACAACCCACAAGGTACAAACATATCTACTCAAAACGAAAAACAACACAACAACACACTCACAAAACGGCAAAACAACAAAACTCAAAAAAAAACCCAACGAAACTTAACCAAAATTCCCATGCCCATAACACAACCCACAAGGTACAAACATATCTACTCAAAATGAAAAACAACACAACAACACACTCACAAAACGGCAAAACAACAAAACTCACAAACCCCAACGAAACTTAACCAAAATTCCCATGCCCATAACACAACCCACAAAGTACAAACATATCTACTCAAAATGAAAAACAACACAACACACTCACAAAACGGCAAAACAACAAAACTCACAACCCCCCCAACAAAACTTAACCAAAATTCCCATGCCCGTAACACAACCCACAAGGTACAAACATGTCTACTCAAAATGAAACACAACAACACACTCACAAAACGGCAAAACAACAAAACTCAAAAAAACCCCAACGAAACTTAACCAAAATTCCCATGCCCATAACACAACCCACAAGGTACAAACATATCTACTCAAAATGAAAAACAACACAACACACTCACAATCATAAAACAGCAAAACAACTGAGCATGCACATTGGTGCCCAGCCGCAAGTTCCCTGGCGCGCGCACACAGTCTTCCGGCCAATGTTCCCTCTGCGGAAGCCATGCCCACTCCAAGCCCCGCCATGCCGCTTCCCGCACACACACCCCCTGCCGCACGCATACACACAACCCCACGCTCCATCACTCCCCCTGCCGCCGCACACACACACGCAACCCCACGCTCCATCACTCCCCCGCTGCCGCACACACACACGCAACCCCACTCCCCCTGCCGCCGCACACACGCAACCCCACGCTCCATCACTCCCCCCGCCGCCGCACACACACGCACCCCACTCCCCCCGCCGCCGCACACACACACGCAACCCCACGCTCCATCACTCCCCCCCGCCGCCGCACACACACACGCAACCCCACGCTCCATCACTCCCCCGCTGCCGCACACACACACGCAACCCCACGCTCCATCACTCCCCGCCGCACACACACACACGCACCCCCACCCCGCCACCGCACACACGCAACCCCACGCTCCATCACTCCCCCCGCGCCGCACACACACACAACCCCACGCTCCATCACTCCCCCCACCGCCCCACACACACACGCAACCCACTCCCCCCGCCGCCGCACACACACACGCAACCCCACGCTCCATCACTCCCCCCGCCGCCGCACACACACACGCAACCCCCCGCTCCATCCCTCCCCCGCCGCCACACACACACGCAACCTCACTCCCCCCGCCGCCGCACACACACACGCAACCCCACGCTCCATCACTCCCCCCGCCGCGCACACACACACACAACCCCACGCTCCATCACTCCCCTGCCCCAATCTTACCTCCTTTTACTTCATGCCACCTCCAAACCCCACCCCGCCCCTTCCCGCCCTGTCAAAATCCAGGAAAGACAGGAAGGAAGGAAAGAAGGAAGAAAGAGAAAGGGAGGTAAAGAAAAAGGGGAAGGAAGGAAAGTTAGAGAAAGAAGGAAGAAGAAAAGGAAAGAAAAGGAAAGATGGAAGGAAAGAAAAGAGAGACAGCAGAAGAGAAAGAAAAAGGGGGAAGGAAGGAAAGAGGTAGAGGAAGAAATGAGAGACAGAGGGAGGGAAAGAAAAAAGGGGGAAGGAAGGAAGGAGAGAAGGAAAGGAAAAAGGGAATGAAGGAAGGAAAGAGGGAGTGAAGGAAGGGCGAAGATGTAGAGAAAGAAGGAGGGAAGGAAAGAAGGAAAGAGAGAAGGAAGAAAAGAGACCAGAAGAGAAAGAAAAAGGGGGAAGGAAGGAAGGAAAGGAAAGAAAAAAGGGAAAGAAGGAAGGAAAGAGGGAGCAAAGGAAGAGGAGAAGATGTAGAGAAAGAGGGAGGGAAGGAAAGAAGGAAAGAGAGAAGGAAGAAAAGAGACAGAAGAGAAAGAAAAGGGGGAAGGAAGAAGAGAGAAGGAAGAAAGGGAAGAAGGAAGGAAAGAGGGAGGAAGGAAGGGGAAGAGAGAGAAGAAAGAGGGAGGGAAGGAAAGAAGGAGAGAGAAGGAAGAAAAGAGACCAGAAGAGAAAGAAAAAGAGGGGGAAGGAAGGAAAGAGATAGAGAAGGAAGGAGAGGGAAGAGGGAAGGAAGGAAGGAAGGAGCGAAAGAAGGAGAGAAAGAGGGAAGGTTGGCCACAGCAACACGTGGCGGGTAAAGGTTGTTATTTCTATTATTATTATTGCTATTATTCCTATGAGACCCTTTTAGGGGGAATGGGAGAGGTGTCAGGTCCCAGAGGCAATGCATTGCATTATTGTTATTGTTATGATGGTGGTGAAATAAAAGGAAATAAAAAGTGAAAGAAGGAAGCAAACAGGGAGGGAAGAAAGGCAAAGGAAGAAAGGGGGAGGGAATGAAGGAAAGAGAGAAGGATGAAACCAAGTAGTGAAAGAAGGAAAGAAAGAAAGAGGTAGAGAAGGAAGAAAGGAGAGAAAGGGGAGGAAAAGGGGGAAGGAATAGGTAGGTACCTCTCTTTCATAATAGTCCAGATATCTACCTCAACTTTGATAAGTTTTACTATAGGCCACAGCAACGCGTGGCAGGGCACAGCTAGTAAATAAATAAATATCATCAGTATATCCCTGGAAAAGAGGACCACAAGGGGCACAATAACATCTAGCCTTACATCCCAATTTCTTTGATATCTGTCTTACATATTTGAAAAAAAGACTATGGAGTTTCGAGTGATTGGGTTGCTGTGAGTATAGCCATGTTGCAGAAGCACTACTTCCAAATTTGGATAAAGCGGCTGTGCATTGCTCAAACTTGTGCATAATGTTGCTATTTTATTTTGTTGTTTTTTTTTGGGGGGGGGATATGTTGCCGAAAGGGCCATGATGGTGCAGCGGGTTAAACCGCTAAGCTGTTGCACTTGCTATCGGAAGGTCGGCCGTTCAAATCCACAGATGGGGTGAGCTCCCATTGTTAGCCCCAGCTTCTGCCAACCTAGCAGTTTGAAAACATACAAATGTGAATAGATCAATAGGTATCACTTTGGCGAGAAGGTTATGGCGCTCCATGTGGTTGTGCCAACCACATGACCTTGGAGGCATCTAGGAAGGTTTAGAAATTGAGATGAGCACCACTTCCCAGAGTCAGACTTAATGTCAAAATCAGACTTAATGTCAAAGGGAAACTATGCTGTCAAATTCCTTAGTCTTTTGCTTCTGGTGCGGTTTTTTCTCCCTCCGCTAGATGGCCCTGAAGGACCTTATAAAAGTAAGCTGCTCCTTTACTCTGAAAAATATGTAGGAGCTTTTAAAAGTGTTACCCTGCCCCTTCTCTTCTATATGAGCTTAGCTTGGCCCATATTTTGAATCTCCAGATGGCACTGAAGTGCCCCTGAAGACTATTTTTAAGGCTTCTTAGTTCAAAGAAAAGGTTTTTCTTCAAACACACTATGATACTCAGCATCAAAATGTTGGTCAAAGGAATATATATATATATAAAGTCACAAGTGTATGGTGTGTTTAGGCATTTTCAGAGATTTACATTGATGTGTGTATTATTGATTGAATAATCCAGTGTATAATGCTCTCCTGGTGACACAATGGGTTAAATTATAGTGCCGGTAGGACTGCCTACTGAAAGGTCAGTGGTTCATATCTGGAGAGAGGGATGAGCTCCCGTCTGTTAGCTCCAGCTTCCCATGCAGGGACATGAGAGAAGCCTTCCACAGGATGGTAAACATTCGGGTGTCCTTTGGGCAACGTCCTTGCAGACGGCCAATTATCTAACGCCAGAAGCAACTTGCAGTTTCTCAAGTCGCTCCTGACACGGAAAAAAAAATTCCATACTGTGGTCTTTTCCATCCTATTGGACATTCAACTCAACCAATTTGAAAATCCTTACATTTTTGTGTGTGTATATGTGTCAGGAGCGACTTGAGAAACAGCAAGTCACTTTTGGTGTGAAAGAATTGACCTTCTGCAAGGATGTTGCCCAGGGGATGCCCAGATGTTTTTACCATCCTGTGGGAGGCTTTTCTTTTCTCATGACCCCACCTGAGAAGCTGGAGCTGACAGATAGGAGCTCATCCCGCTCCCTGGATTCAAACCATCGACCTTTTGGTCAGCAGCCCTGCTGGCACAAGGGTTTATAATCCATTGCGCCACCGGGGGATCCATCTTTAGGTACAGTAAAAAGAAATAATTGTGGAGGAAGGTCTTGGCATCATTGAGTAAGTGTGGCTATCTTTGCAGTTACAAACACACAGATATGAACAAGTTGACGTGTGAGGAATCCCCAATGGAAATTCCTGCAGACTTCACCAGCAAGCTGGACCTGATCTATTCGTACTCCGTGAAATTTGAAGTAAGTGTGGTGAGGTTCGCAAATGCAATATCCTGAATAGCTGTTTAGAACAAGTAACAATTGTGCAGGCAAGTCAGTTTCCCCGAACAGTTTCCGGGCTCAATTCAAGGTTCGGGTCCAACCTGTCTTTGAGACTTCATCTCTTTCTATGAACTGTTGAGATCGGCCGGGGGGGGGGGGGGGGGGGGCTTCTCTTGGTCCAACCACCTTGTCAAGCGTGGTTGGTGGGGACGAGAGAGAGGGCCTTCTCTGTAGTGGTTCCCTGTCTGGAAAATGTTACGTTAGCCCCCATCCTTGACTCATAGGATCATAAGAGTTGGAAGAGACCTTGTGGGCCATCCAGTCCAATCCCCTCTCAAGAAGCAGGACTCCTTCCAATCCAGCCTAAAAACATTTTAAGCAGACTTTCTGGCCTCGAGTAGGCTAAAATGGTCCCATATGAGGTTGACACTTTGGCACTTTAGTTTCGGGAGATGGTGGCAGGATATAAATAATAATAATAATAATAATAATTATTATTATTATTACTAGCTGTCCCCTGCCACGCGTTGCTGTGGCCCAGTCTGGTGATCTGGAAAATGAAGTAATTAGAAAGCGTTGGTTTCTAATATGTGTAATTTCTTGATGCTTGTGGGTAAACAGTATTTCTTGCTGTTTCTTTATCAGTGTTGATGTGGAGATTGTCTGGTTTGTCTACTTTGGAACATGCAACATATAATTGTCCATCTTAAGGGGTCCCTTTCAATTCTATGATACTATGATAATATATCATATCTATGATACTATATTTCAAATTTATGATACTATATCTCTCTGTGTGTGAATCATATATATCTATCTATATCTATGGCTGGATGGCTCTTTGTCAGGAGAGCTTTGATTATGTTTTCTTGCCCTGGTGAAGGGAGTTGGAGTGGGTGGCCATGGGGGTTTTGTGTAGGAAGTTTGCCCCAAGTCTGTTGTTGGTGGGGTTCAGAATGGTCTTTGATTGTAGGTGAACTATAAATCCCAATAACTACAACTACCAAATGTCAAGGTCTATTCCCTCTGAACGCCATCTCTGTTCATATTTGGGCATATGGAATATTCGTGCCAAGTTTGGTCTGGATCCTTCATTGTTTGAATCCACAGTGCTGTCTGGATGTAGGTGAACTACAACTCCCAAACCCAACATCAGTGCCCACCAAACCCTTCTAGTATTTTCTGTTGGTCAGGGGAGTCCTGTGTGCCACGTTTGGTTCAATTCCATGATTTTGTGGAGTTCAGAATGCTCTTTGATTGGAGGTGAACTATAAATCCCAGCAAGGCCCGTAGCGAGGGGGGAGGGGGTTTAGGGGTTCAAACCTCCCCCCTGAAATGTTTCAGATTTTTTTTTAAAAAAACTGGTTTACTCATGAATTTTAACTGGTTAACCAAATCCCCATGCTGCTAAGTCTATGAGATGCAAAAAATCAAGAGTCCCTCCAGAACTGCAAGCACTATCTCAAGCAAATATTAGCAATTTATTCACACTGTCATTACTTGCAGCAATAGCCGATGTAGTTGTTCTGGTACAGCTGTACCAGGAGCTCCATCTTTATTTGCTTTGTATTAAATGTTTGCTTGCAGTCCTAGGTTTCAGGGACTCTGCAGATAGGTGGCTTCTTTGGTTGCAGTCATAGGGCAAGTCACCTGTCCATCATCGTTAAGTTTTGGTCCCGCCCCTTGCTCAGGGCAATTGGGAAGGGAAGGGAGCCATTTTTAGTTAGTCTCAGCAAGGAAAGCTTATGTATAGGATGTGTGCAAGCTTCCCCTGTACAAAAGCTTCAACCCTTAAGACCTTCCAGGGGAGAAAGGTCTTAAGAGGCTCCAAAGAATTTCCAGGAAAACAGCCCTAAAGACCAAAGAACTCCAGCTGGAGAACATCTACTGCCTTGCTGGTAGGTCCACTCGGCGTTCGAGACGCAGTTCGACCCGGTAGCGGAGCCCACATCAGTAAGGGTTAGATTACAGTCAGCCTGGGAGAAGTTAAAAGGGGATTTTCCTTTAAAGAAGAAGTTATTGAAGACAGTTGCCTGTCCTTCGTGGGCAAGATTAGGAATTCACCAGTTGCCTAAAAGCTTGGAATCATTTGCTTAACTTTACTGAAGACAAGAGAAGTTTCTGTTTGCTTGTTCATTAATAAAAGACTTTGTTGTACTTCTCAAGCCATCTAAAGACTGTTTGTGGTGGAAACCTCTGAGAACTTCTCTTTAGGCCCCCTGGCTTCCCGCTGGGCAAAGGTTGCACATCCTGTTCTAAAGACAATTATTTACAGGCCCAGCGCACAACAGAACAGTAGTGAAGCAACCAAGTTGGGGGGGGGGGGGTTTTGAATGCTCTCATTAAGGAGGCCAGACTTGGTGGAGGTGGTTCACAGGAGCGGAGCTGCAGGCTATTGAAGGCTGCTCTGCCCCCTGCTGTGCTCTTTGCTTCAGCGTGAGCCAGGAGGCAGGTTTCAACCCCCCCCCCCCCCCCACCGCTCTGAAATTTTCAAACCCCCCTCCCTGAAAATTTCAACCGCTCCCGAAATTTTTTTCTGGCTACGGCCCTGCCAGCAACTACAACTCCCAAATGAGAAAATACATTTTTTTTGAGTGAAGGACATACATTGGGTTGTTAGGTGTATGCTGTCCATATTTGGTTTGAATTGGCTCACTGATTTTTGAGTTCTGTTAATACCACAAACGAACATTACATTTTTATTTATATAGATTATTATTATTATTATATTATATAGATTATTATCATATTATTATTATAATATAATATAATATAATATATATTGTATAAACATATAATATTTATAATATTATAATGTAATGCAATATAATAATAATAATAATATGATATTATAATTATATATTTATATTACATGCAATATTACTAATAATATTACAATATAATGGTATTGTACAATATAGTAATATTTAATACTGATATTGTACTATGCTAATAATATAATATATTGTAGGTATATATACCTTGTAAGCCGCTCTGAGTCCCCTTCGGGGTGAGAAGGGAAGCATATAACTGTCGTAAATAAATAAATAAATATGAGCCCCTGGTGGCGCAGTGGGTTAAACCCCTGTGCCGGCAGGACTGAAGACCGACAGGTCGCAGGTTCGAATCCGGGGAGAGGCGGATGAGCTCCCTCTATCAGCTCCAGCTCCTCATGCGGGGACATGAGAGAAGCCTCCCACAAGGATGATAAAAACATCAAATCATCCAGTCGTCCCCTGGGCAACGTCATTGCAGACGGCCAATTCTCTCACACCAGAAGCGACATGCAGTTTCTCAAGTCGCTCCTGACACGACAAAATGTATTATTATTATTATTATTATTATTATTATTATTATTATTATTTACCCCAAACCAGTGGCTTTAATATGTGTATTGTTTCAGTCATTGTCCATTTTCAGTGGGTCTTGAGCTTTCCTTGTGGAAGAAGAGAACAAGGCAGCCTCTCAATGTGTAGATGCTCAGGACCCAGATTCAGGCCTCTTTAGAGTTCGAGTCTGGTGGTTTTGAGCTTCTCATTTGATGCAGATATTATGGCATTTCCATTTTCATTGTGGGCCGAAACCAGTCCATAGTAAGACCCCTGTAACTATGGAACTCATATCCGCAGGGGAACCACAGGGAAAATGGTCTTTCTAGGAATTTGCTGGGTCCTTCAGGCATGTTATGCTTTTCTTGGAAGTTACTGTATTTATTTATTTATTTATTTGCTTCACTTTTATACCGCATATTTCAGCCTTTAGCAGGCGACTCAATGCGGTTCACAGTGCAGTTAAAACACAATAGTACAAAAAACCGGAACGACAAAGTCGCTCCACCAACAATTAACATCAGACACACAACCCACAAACAACATATACAACGCCTCCGTTAAAGTCAGATCCATTCTCATAGTCATTGTGCCGTTCCTATATTCAGTTACCGTCTTCCTTAGTTAGTTGCATTACTTAGCCAAACGCTTGCTCATAGAGCCAGGTCTTGACCATTCTCCGAAACGCCAGCAACGAAGGTGCCTGTCTGATGTCTGCTGGCAAAGCATTCCATAGCCGAGGGGCCACCGCTGAGAAGGCCCTGTCTCTCGTCCCCGCCAAGCGCACCTGTGACGCAGGCGGGATCGAGAGCAGGGCCTCCCCAGACGATCTTAATGTTCTAGTCGGTTCGTAGGTGGAAATGCGTCGAATAGTATTGATAGTAGAATAGTATTAATAATAGTATTAATAGTAGAATAGTATTGGAAGACCTAGCAAATCCCATCTCTAATGGGACTGGAATTCTATAGTACACTGGGACTAGTCAGTTAATTTAATAGCATTTGATCAGATTTATGATTTCAGGTGTAATAAAATCCATGCCAACTGATATTTTGGGTTTTCCTTGGACCTCAAGAAAGCGTGGGATGGCCCAGCACCGTTTTTGACCTTGGTGAACTGAAATGCATGAGCGCATGGCTCCTGCAGACCCTTGTAGCCACGAGTAATGGGTTTGTGCAACAACTTTAGTTTCAGCTCCTGTTTTTTTTTGCTGCAGGAGAACAACAATATCAAGTGGGCCTCAAGGTGGGACTACATCTTGGAATCCATGCCTCACACCAACATTCAGTGGTTCAGGTAAGACAGAGTTTCTCGACCTGGGGGTCAGGACCCCTGGGGGGGGGGGTTTGTGAGGGGGTGTCAGAGGAGTTGCCAAAGACCATCAGGAAACACAGTATTTTCTGTATTGTCGAAGGCTTTCATGGCCAGAATCACTGGGTTGTTGTAGGTTTTTTTGGGCTATATGGCCGTGTTCTAGAGGCATTCCCTCCTGACGTTTCGCCTGCATCTATGCCAAGCATCTTCAGAGGTAGTGAGGTCTGTTGGAACTAGGAAAAAGGGGTTTATATATTTGTGGAATGACCAGGGTGGGACAAAGGTGGTCAGTTGAAACATTCACACCTAGCTCCAGCAGACAAGAGTCCTTTGTACCACCTTGGTGATTCCACAGATATATAAACCACTTTTTCCTAGTTCCAACAGACCTCACTAGTAGCATATTATCTGAGAACACAGAAATGCTGGACCACTCTCACAACCACCATGTCAGACTACACAGAGAAGCCATTGAAATCCACAAGCATGTGGACAACGTCAACAGAAAGGAGGAAACCATGAAGATGAACAAAATCTGGCTACGAGTATTAAAAAACTCTAAAATTAAAACAGCAAAACAGCAGAGGGGAAACAATCAGGGACATCTAATCACCTCTCAACAAAAGATTGCGCCAGGCACTGCCAGGCCATCAAATGCTAATCAAGGTGGTCAGTTGAAACATTCACACCTAGCTCCAGCAGACAAGAGTCCTTTGTCCCACCCTGGTCATTCCACAGATATATAAACCATTTTCCTAGTTCCAACAGACCTCACTACCTCTGAGGATGCTTGCCATAGATGCAGGCGAAACGTCAGGAGAGAATGCCTCTAGAACATAGCCATATAATTATTTATTATTTATTTATTTACAGTTTTTATATTCCGCCCTTCTCACCCCGCAGGAGACTCAGGGCGGATTACAGTGTGAGCCCCCGGGGGCGCAGTGGGTTAAACCCCTGTGCCGGCAGGATTGAAGACCGACAGGTCGCAGGTTCGAATCCAGGGAGAGGCGGATGAGCTCCCTCTATCAGCTCCCGCTCCTCATGCGGGGACATGAGAGAAGCCTCCCACAAGGATGATAAAAACATCAAATCATCCAGGTGTCCCCTGGGCAACGTCCTTGCAGACGGCCAATTCTCTCACACCAGAAGCGACTTGCAGTTTCTCAAGTTGCTCCTGACACGACAAAAACAAACAAACAAACAAACAAAAAAACCCCAAAAACAGTGTACACATATATGGCAAACATTGAATGCCAATTTTGAGATACAACATATACAGACATAGGCATAGACAGAAAAGGTAGTGAGGTCTGTTGGAACTAAGAAAAAGGGGTTTATATATCTGTGGGCCCCCTGGTGGCGCAGTGTGTTACAGCACTGAGCTGCTGAGCTTGTTGACCAAAAGGTCACAGGTTCGATTCCAGGGAGCAAGGTGAGCTTCCGCTTTCAGGCCTAGCTTCTGCCAACCTAGCAGTTCGAAAACATGCAAATGTGAGTAGATCAATAGGTATCGTTCTGGCAGGAAGGTAACGGCGCTCCATGCGGTCATGCCGGCCACATGACCTTGGAGGTGTCTACGGACAACGCTGGCTCTTTGGCTTAGAAATGGAGATGAGCACCACACCCCAGAGTCAGACATGACTGGACTTAATGTCAGGGGACAACCTTTACCTTTAACCTTTACTATATCTGTGGAATGACCAGGGGAGCTGTTGCTTTCATCATCCATCTGCGACACTGATTAAGTACTTCCGCATTCCCCGCATGCTTTTTTGCTGGAGTGCTTGCTGGAGTCTTTTTTATGGCCTCATAAATTAGTTAATTTAGCCTCCCCACACTTTTAAGGTGTAATTTTCCTACTTGACAGATGCAACTGTCTTTCGGGTTGCAATGGTCGACAACAGGCTACACAATTGGTTGGAAACCCACTCCTACCCGGGCTGGCTTCGAACTCATGACCTTTTGGTCAGAGTGATCTTACTGCAGCTGACACTCAGCCAGCTGCGCCACAATCCCGGTGCCCGAAAAAACCTACAACAAAGAGCTTCCTGACTGTGAGATCTGTTCAGCAGTGGAACTCTCTGCCCCAGAGTGTGGTGGAGGCTCCTTCTTTGGAGGCTTTTAAACAGAGGCTGGATGGCCATCTGTCAGGGGAGCTTTGAATGCAATTTTCCTGCTTTTTGGCAGAATGGGGTTGGACTGGATGGCCCACGGGATCTCGTCCAACTCTATGATTCTGACCATCTCCTTCTGCTATAAGATCCAGTCTTGCCTTGTCCGTGACTTTTTCTCACCCTTTGCTGCAAATGTAAGGAACTGTGTCTGTTATTGGGGTCGGGGATACATGGTTGGTGTAAAACCTGTACCTGTGCCTTCCTTGGCAGCATCATGAACTCCCTTGTGATTGTGCTCTTCCTGTCTGGGATGGTGGCGATGATTCTCCTGAGGACGCTGCATAAGGACATTGCGAGATACAACCAGATTGACTCCTCGGTAAGTCAAACAAAGCCCTCCTAAAATCAAGAGGATAGAGCTATAGGATTTTTCTTATCCTAAAAGAGAGAAATGTCTCTTGTAATTCTTTGTTTCTGGCAGTACGTGCTTTAAGCTGAGACAAGCAGGTATTTTAAGGCCCACTCTTTGGCCTTCAAGAACATCTTTGAAAGCCTTTAGGCTGAAAGGGGTCTCCCACCTTTAGATGGGAGACATCTTTTGAAGACATCTGCCCTTGCGCTGTGCTACTCTGCTGCTGAGTACGCATGCCCAGTGTGGAACACATCTCACCACATTAAAACAGTGGATGTGGCTCTTAATGAGACATGCCGCATTATCACAGGGTGTCTGCGCCCTACACCACTGAAGAAATTACACTGCTTAGCCGGTATTGCACCACCTGACATCAGCTGGGAAGTAGCAGCCAATTGTGAAAGGACCAAGGCAGAGACATCTCTAGCTCATCCCTTGTTTGGGTATCAGCCAGCACGTCAACGATTTAAATCAAGAAATAGTTTTCTAAGATCTACAGAGACACTTGCTGGAACACCTCAGCAAGCGAGAGTTCAAAAGTGGCAGGCTCAAACCCAGAGCCTCAATCAATGGCTGATACCAAATGAGAGACTCCCTCCTGGGCACACAGAAGACTGGGCGACTTTGAAGGCGCTGAACAGACTGCGCTCTGGCACCGCAAGATGCAGAGCCAATCTTAAGAAATGGGGCCACAAAGTGGAATCCACGACATGCGAGTGTGGAGATGAGCCACTTGCTGCAATGCAACTGACCACTTGCTGCAATGCAACCTATGCCCTGCCACATGCACAATGGAGGACCTCCTTGCGGCAACACCAGAGGCACTCCAAGTGGCCAGATACTGGTCAAAGGACATTTAATCAGCTACCAAGTTTGCAAAATTTGTGTGTTTTTTATCTGTTTGTTTGTTTTGTTTTGTTAGAAATGTAATACAATGTTCTGGTTGCGGATGACACGATAAATAAATACCTTTAGATAGACTACTAGGAAGGAAGAGGTGTGTTTGGTTCCTTATTTTATTGATTTCTTTACTCAGGTTGTGTAAATAATGCTATTCAGTGAGCAGGTGGCACAATGGGTTAAAGCAGGGGTCCTCAAACTTTTTAAACAGAGGGCCAGGTCACCGTCCCTCAAACTGTTGGAGGGCCGGATTATAATTTGAGAAAAAAATTAATTAGAAAGAGCTTCCTGACTGTGAGAGCTGTTCAGCAGTGGAACTCTCTGCCCCAGAGTGTGGTGGACGCTCCTTCTTTGGAGGCTTTTAAACAGAGGCTGGATGGCCATCTGTCAGGGGAGCTTTGAATGCAATATTCCTGCTTCTTGGCAGAATGGGGTTGGACTGGATGGCCCACGGGATCTCTTCCAACTCTAGGATTCTATGATTCTATGATAGATGATAGAGCAGCGTTTCTCAGCCTGGGGGTCGGGACCCCTGGGGGGTTGCAAGGGGGTGTCAGAGGGGTCACCAAAGACCATAAGAAAACACAGTATTTTCCGTTAGTCATGGGGGTTCTGTGATTCTAAGTGTGGGCCTTCTTTTGGCTAATGAGATAGGATTGTTGTTGTTGTTATTGTTGTGTGCTTTGAAGTCATTTCAGACTTAGGTTGACTCTCAGCGAAGGCCGGGTAAATGACCTTGGAGGGCTGTATCTGGCCCCCGGGCCTTAGTTTGAGGACCCCTGGGTTAAAGCCTTGTGCCGGCAGGCCTGAAGACCAACAGGTTGGAGGTTCGAATTTGGGGAGATCATGGATGAGCTCCCTCTGTCAGCTCCAGCTCCCCATGCAGGGATTTGAGAGGAGCCTCCCACAAAGATGGTAAAACCCCTGGGCAACGTCCTTGCAGACAGCCAGTTCTTTCACGCCAGAAGTGACTTGCAGTTTCTCAAGCCGCTCCTGACACGAAACAAAAAGGTAGTGAAGAGCTCCCCCTTTGCTTAGTTTGTGCCTTCCTTGAGAAGCTTTGAGTACAATATCCCTCACCGTTTTACTTTGTGAATCTTTCCTTTTGCCTTTCTTCAAGGAGCTACAGGTGGTCTGTGCGGCAAATAGCCCCCATTTTTCTGCCTTAGCGAAACGCTCTTAAAACTTTGGTCAAATAGACCATATTTGCCTAGCTAATTAAAACAAAAGTCTGCCAAATACAGTTGTCGTTTGAAAGTAATGAACAGGCTTTACAGAAATCCTACTTCCCCATGGAAAACAAATGAAGGGCTCAGCCACGGAGGCTTGCTTAGGATGGCAGAGAGGAACTGGAAGATACATCACAGCCCTATTTCAGCATAGTTTGGGGAGGTGGGCAAGGCGAATGGCTTCCAAAGGCCGAAACCTTTTATTTTTGAATATCTAAGGGTCAGTAGGGCCCCCTGGTAGTCCAGCGGATTAAACCGCTGAGCTGCTGAACTTGCTAACTGAAAGATCGGTGGTTTGAATCCGGGGTGTTGGGAGAGCTCCCGCTGTTAGCCCCAGCTTCTGCCAACCTAGTAGTTCGAATATGAGTAGATCAATAGGTACCGCTCAGGCGGGAAGGTAACGGCGCTCCATGCAGTCATGCCAGCTACATGACCTTGGAGGTGTCTATGGACAACGCCAGCTCTTTGTCTTAGAAATGGAGATGAGCACCACACCCCAGAGTCAGACATGTCTGGACTTAATGTCAGGGGACAACCTTTACCTTTACTAAGGGTCAGTAGGGCCCCCTGGTGGTCCAGCGGGTTAAACCGCTGAGCTGCTGAACTTGCTAACTGAAAGATTGGCAGTTTGAATCCGGAGAACTGGGTGAGCTCCTGCTGTTAGCTCCAGCTTCTGCCACCCTAATAATAATAATAAACTTTATTTCTACCCCACCACCATCTCCCTGATGGGGACTCAAAAGGGATCTTTGCAGAAGGCAAGGTGTTGGTGAATGTGTCAGGAGCGGACCAAACAGTTGCATTGCATTTTTTAACAAACAAACAAACAGAACACAAAGTTTGCAGGCTTGGTAGTTGATTAAATGTCCTTTGACCAGTATCTGGCCTCTTGGAGTGCCTCTGGTGTTGCTGTGAGAAGGTCCTCCATTGTGCATGTGGCAGGGCTCAGGTTGCATTGCACCAGGTTGTCAGTGGTTTCTCCTCTCCGCACTCGCATGTCGAGGATTCCACTTTGTAGCCCCATTTCTTAAGGTTGGCTCTGCATCTCGTGGTGCCAGAGCGCAGTCTGTTCAGTGCCTTCCAAGTCGCCCAGTTTCCTATGTGCCCAGCGGGGAGTCTCTCATTTAGTATCAGCCATTGATTGAGGTTCTGGGTTTGAGCCTGCCACTTTTGGACTGATTAAATCATTATTTCAATCTTCAATGTAAATGTGCTTATGTATCCTTCCAATAATAATAAAGATAGAATAATAATAATAATAATAATAATAATAATAATAATAATGAAATCCAGCATATATACCTTGTTTGCTGTGTCATACTGTGTTTTTGTGTCAGGATAATAATAATAATAATAATAATAATAATAATAATAATAATAGAGTAAAATAATGGAAATGTAATAACAGTGGTAACAGAGCAAAATTATAACTGCAGTAACAATAAAAATAAAGTAAAATAATAAATGCAATAATAATAATAATAAAGAGTAAATAAATAATAATACTAATAATAAATAGAGTAAAATAATAAATGTAATAAAATAATAATAGAGTAGAGCAGTGGTTCTCAACCTGTGGGTCCCCAGGTGTTTTGGCCTACAACTCCCAGAAATCCCAGCCAGTTTACCAGCTGATAGGATTTTTGGGAGTTGAAGGCCAAAAACATCCGGGGATCCCCAGGTTGAGGACCACTGGAGTAGAGTAATGTAAATATGATAATAATTAATATATTAAAATAATTCATGTAATAAAATGATACTAATAAAGTAAAATAATAAATAACCTTGACTCGAGTATAAGCCGAGGGGAACTTTTTCATCCTAAAAAGGGGGCTGAAAAACTAGGCTTATACTCGAGTATATACAGTATATAGCTGTAAAATAAAGTAGTTTATAGCCTAAAGTGGCTGTGATTGATCGTGTTCCTGCCTTGTTGTGCAGCCGATGCCACTGACAAAGAGTTCTTTCTTCCACTCTGGACCTTCCACAGATATATAAACCTCCCTTTGTTGCATTTCCAACAGACCTCAACCTCTGAGAATAGATGCCATAGGTGTGGGTGAAACATCAGGAGAGAATGCTTCTGGAACATGGCCAGACAGCCCAGAAAACTCACAGCAATCCAATAATAATGGTTGTTTCATCTTCTCAAGATCAGCGTTTCTCACTGCGTCGGCCCCCTTCTCTTTGCCACTGACCGACCATCCAGGAGGGAGTTATAAAACTAGCGAGTTATAATGGAGCTAATGAAATTAGTCCCTTTTTAGGAAGAAAGGCAGGAAGATAATCAGGCCAAGGGAAAAGCAAAACTTCATGTCTGGCTCGGGCGAATGCGTCGTCGCTTGGTGGATGTCTAATAAAGATGTAATTGCAGGAGGATGCCCAGGAGGAGTTTGGGTGGAAGCTGGTCCACGGAGACGTCTTCCGCCCTCCTCGGAAGGGGATGCTCCTCTCGGTGTTCTTGGGCCAAGGGACCCAGATTTTCATCATGACGTTTATCACTTTGTGTAAGTACCCAAGGAAAGTAAGGGGGACAGGTTCTTGCTGCAAGCGGGTCGCAAAGGAGAGAAAGAAAGGAAAGCAGGACCGAGCCATTTGTGAAATGTAACAACGAGCTTCATGGTAATTTGATATGGGATTTGCAAGCGCAGGGTAATTGCGATTTCCCTTTGGAAACGTAGCGGTAATGAGAATACAGCGGCCCAAGCCAATATGACTCGGCTGGAAATTAATGTTTCCTGGAGCCAGAATCTTGCCTAATTTCCTGCCCATGTTGCCGCTAATTCCTTGCCAGCCTCACACTTAACAGTCCCTTAGTGCAAACGCAGTGGCTCGCCTTTGGTCCCAGCTGGGCGCCTGGTGGCAGTGGCAGATGGCACCATCTGAGAAGGGCAATGATTTGACGTGACCCAGTGGCGTGTCATCACCAGCCAGCATTCAGTTCATGATCTGGCATCCCTCACACTTCCATCTTGTTTATCAAATGGGAAGCTTCCGTTCCTTGGCTTCCATTTGCTCCCAAGAAACCAGCATTTATTCCTGGGTTTGGGGAAAGGGAGCAAACCTACCATATATACCCGAAGCTAAACTGAGTTTTGCAGGGGGAAATGAACACACACACACACACACACACACACACACACACACATATATATATATATGTATAGAGAGAGAGAGAGAGAGAGATGTATAGACATATGTAGATAGATATGAAGATAGATATATCGGGCTTGTAAATAATGCAGAGGGGAATGCACACACAAATATATATAGACATATCTAAATAGATATGAATATAGATATATAGGGCTTGCAAATATTGCAGGGGGAAAATGCACACACAACTATATATAGACATATCTAGATAGATATGAATATAGATATATAGGGCTTGCAAAAATATTGCAGGGGGGAAATGCACAGACAAATATATATAGACATATGTAGATAGATATGAAGATAGATATATCGGGCTTGCAAATATTGCAGGGGGAATGCACACACAAAGATATATAGACATATCTAGATAGATATGAATATAGATATATAGGGCTTGCAAATATTGCAGGGGGGAAATGCACACACAAATAGACATGTCTAGATAGATATGAATATAGATATATAGGGCTTGCAAATATTGCAGGGGGAAAATACAAATAGATATGTCTAGATAGATATGAATATAGATATATAGGGCTTGCAAATATTGCAGGGGGAAATGCACACACAAATAGACATGTCTAGATAGATATGAATATAGATATATAGGACTTGCAAATATTTCACACACACACACATATAGAGAGAGAGATAAAGACATGTCTAGATGTAAACATAGATATATAGGGCTTGCAAATATTGTAGGAGGGGAATGCACATAGAGAGCATTTGCAGATGCTTCAAGGGGAAAATGCATATGTGAAATTAGTACATATAATTATAGATCTATAGCTATATCTGGAGCTTTTTAAGGAAAGGTTACACTAATGTTCCGGTATCGTCCCAATGCTGTTGTGTTTCCTTTTTCAGTCCTGGCCTGCCTCGGATTCCTTTCGCCTGCCAACCGAGGGGCCTTGATGACCTGTGCGGTTGTCCTTTGGGTCTTGCTGGGGACCCCAGCAGGCTATGTGTCGGCGCGGATGTACAAAAGTAAGTGGGATCCTCGCATAAGGAGGGATTGGGAGCCTGCTTGTGATTGACTGGAACTGCAGGAGCCACGCTGGCCAATGGCGAGCTGCGCGCCGTTAATTGTCGAGATTTGAACAAGATTAGAAATAACAAAGCCCCGGGAAATTGAAAAGGTTTCTCAGAGGGCTCTGTACAAAGAGTGTGATCCAGAGCATTATCAGAAAAGCTAACACAGAAAGTTAGATGAGCTGGAGGAGAAATTAGCGAAGGCGTATTTGAAGAAATTCAGAGGCCGTTCTTTGTATGACTCATGCAAACGCTGGATTTAAATCGCGGCTTGTTCAAACATGTTGCTGGAAGAGTGCATTTGGAAGAAATGAATTAGCATGAAGAAGACGGCTTCTAAGATTGTCAGGGGTTGCGGTGGTTTTTCGTTTGAATATCTATTGATTAATTTTTTAATAGCAGTGATATTAAATTCTTCGTTGTCAAAGGCTTTCATGGTTGGAATCACTGGGTTTCTGTGAGTTTTCCGGGCTGTATGGCCATTTTCCAGAAGCATTCTCTCCTGCTGTTTCACCTGCATCTATTTATTTATTTATTTATTTACACCATTTCTATCCCGCCCTTCTCACCCCTGAGGGGGGACTCAAGGCGGCTAACACAGGCAACAATTCAATGCCAACAGTATCAATAACAACGATATAAACCAACAATATCAAATCCTATTACATAACAATTAAACAGTGATATTACCGTATATACTCAAGTATAAGCCGACCCAAATATAAGCCGAGGCACTTAATTTTACCACAAAAAACTGGGAAAACAGATTGACTCGAGTATAAGCCGAGGATGGGAAATGCAACAGATACTGGTACATTTCAAAATAAAAATAGATACCAATAAAATTATAATAATTGAGGCATCAGGAGGTTAAATGTTTTTGAATATTTACATAAAACTGTAATTTTTACATAAAACTTGCATACCCTTCCAATAAAAATACATAGAGTAAAATAATAAATGTAATAATAACAACAATAATAAAGTAAAATAATAAATGTAATAATAACAACAATAATAAAGTAAAATAATAAAGTGGTAAAGTGCATTTTGAGGGCATATTGCTGAGTTTTCCTTATTCTGGGAAGGCACACTGGAACAACCACGTTTTCAGGCTCCTCCTAAAGATTGCCAGAGTTGGGGCATGTCTGATGCCTGTCATAGATGTGGGAGAAATGTCAGGAGAGAATGCTTCTGAAGCATGGCCATACAGCCTGGAAAACTCACAGCAACCTAGATATTTAATTCTGTTTTAATGTTTATATATGTGTAAATTTTAAGTTGTACTAAAATGCTTTGGGTCTCCTTATTGTGAGAAAGAGCAAGGTGTAAGTAAACAACAACAATATGGCCCCATCAGTAATCTATATAGTAGAGCGTAGGTTCCTGCTGCGGTTTGGTTCCAGGTTCCAGAGTGCACTGGGGTTCAGTTTAGATTCTCTAATTAGGGAAAATTCAGTGTGAGAGACAGAATTATGATAAACCAGTTGTATCATAATCCAAACTGGTTGCAACTGTACAGTTATGAAAACTGCACTAAAATGTTGTACTTCTTCTCCCTTTTGCTTCTCAGCATTTAGAGGTGAAAAATGGAAGACAAACGTGTTACTGACCGCTCTCCTGTGCCCTGGGTTAGTATTCCTGCTTCTTTTCTTGTAGAGAACTCCTTTTCTGCATTGCTGTGCCTCCAAATGTGTAAAGGTTTATGTTGCTTGCCAGAAATGTCATAACTGCTTTTGATTTTCACATGCAAGGAGCTATGAGAGAATGAGGAGTGGGTGCCGATTCCCAAACAAAGGTCTTTAGCCCCTTAAGGTTGTAACTCTTAGCCATCATTGGTTGTAAGCCAGGATCTAACACTGTCATTTGAAGTCAGTTTGCAAAGCATGGCTGTTTGTTATTCTTGGTTAAACTATTTAGATCAGCGGTTCTCAACCTGAGGATCGCGACCCCCAGGGGGGTCACTTGGCCATTTCGGAGGGGTTGCGATGCTGCCTCCCTTGGCAGTGTCTTTTGAACTGGGGCTTGAGTTCCCAGTTGGCCAATGGGAGTTTTGGAAAGGGTAAAGAGAAGAAGGTTGGGTGTTAGCGAGAGCAGTTTGGGTTTCGAAGAAGTTTGGGTCAGTCTTTTGGGTAGTATTCAGAATAGCTATAGAACATATAGCTAGAATACTGAGGGGAAGCAATCGGGCACATCTAATCACCTCTCAACAAAAGATTGCCCCAGGCACTGCCAGGCCACCAAATGCTAATCAAGGTGGTCAGTTGAAACATTCACACCTAGCTCCAACAGACAAGAGTTCTTTGCCCCAACCTGGTCATTCCACAGATATATAAACCCTTTTTCCTAGTTCCAACAGACCTCACTACCTCTGAGGATGCTTGCCATAGATGCAGGCGAAACATCAGGAAAAAATTCCTCTAGAACATGGCCTTACTTACTTAGGCGATCCCTCGTTGGACGAGTAAGATGGTCTTCCTTGATGACTATTTTTGTGGGTTTGTAGGTGGCTGTGGAGCCCTACATCTTCCCGCATCTTCTCCCACAGTGAAGGCATTGGTTTCCAGGTGGAAGGCGGTCCCGGTCGGGGTTGGCTTGATGCGCCTTCCTCCTGGCACGTTTCTCTCTTTCATCTTCCACTCATGCCTCCTCGAATTCTGCAGCACTGCTGGTCACAGCTGACCTCCAGCTGGAGTGCTCCAGGGCCAGGGCTTCCCAGTTCTCAGTGTCTATGCCAGAGTTTTTAAGGTTGGCTTTGAGGCCATCTTTAAATCTCTTTTCCTGTCCACCAACATTCCATTTTCCGTTCTTAAGTTCAGAGTAGAGCAACTGCTTTGGGAGATGGTGGTCAGGCATCCGGACAATGTGGCCAGTCCAGCGGAGTTGATGGCAGAGGACCATCACTTCAATGCTGGTGGTCTTTGCTTCTTCCAGCACGCTGACGTTTGTCCGCTTGTCTTCCCATATAGCCTGAAAAAATCTACAACAACCCAGATCTCATTAACCTCTGAAGATTCCTGCCATAGATGCAGGCGCGACGTCAGTAGAGAATGTTTCTGGAACATGGCCAAACAGCCCTGAAAACACACAACAAGCCAATATAAATCTCACCCAGATAGCCATTTCCTGCAGTCATTTAGATGCCATCTTGGTAGAACACCAAACTGGCTGCTCGCATCACTTCCAGAGTATAAATTCCATTTCACAGAAGTAAAGAACTGGGGGAGAGCGGCACACAAATCAGAACAGATGTCTTGATTATGCCATGCTCGTCGAGCAAATTTGCATAATGTCATAAACAGCCTGCAGCAATTACCTACACCGTGGATTAATTTTGCGAATTGGTCGACGGACAAGGTTATTTTCTACTTCCTGCCTCTCTCTCTGCAAAAGAATAAAGGGACAGTCCTGCTCTCCTTTCTTGGCCAGGACTTTAGCTGAATGTACCGTATATACTCAAGTATAAGCCAACCCGAATATAAGCCAAGGCACTAATTTTATCACAAAACACTGGGAAAACGTACTGACTCGAGTATAATCCGAGGGTGGGAAATGCATCCACTATGGATCGATTTCAAAATAAAAATAGATACCAATAAAATTACATTAATTGAGGCATCAATAGGCTAAATGTTTCTGAACATTTACATAAAACTGTAATTTAAGATAAGAGTGTCCAGCTCTGATTAAATCATTATTCTAATCTCCTTCGATGTAAATGTACTTATTAAAATAATAAATATAATAAAAATAATAGAGTAAAATAATGAAAATGCAAGAAAAACAGTAATAATAGAGTAAAATAATAATAGTAATAATAGGGTAAATACTGTCATTTTTTTTTCGTGTCAGGAGTGACTTGAGAAACTGCAAGTCGCTTCTGGTGTGAGAGAATTGGCTGTCTGCAAGGATGTTGCCCAGGGGACGCCCGGATGTTTTGATGTTTTATCAACCTTGTGAGAGGCTTCTCTCATGTCCCCGCATGAGGAGCTGGAGCTGATAGAGGGAGCTCATCCGCGCTCTCCCCGGATTCGAACCTGTGACCTGTTGGTCTTCAGTCCTGCCATCACAGGGGTTTAACCCACTGCGCCACCAAGGGCTCCAATACTGTCAATGTAATAATAATAATAATAATAATAATAATAATAATAATAATGAATAGATTAAAATAATAAATGTAATAATAATAGGTTAAAATACTATAAATGTAATAATAATAATAATAATAATAATAATAATAATAATAAATAGATTAAAATAATAAATGTAATAATATTGGGTAAAATACTGTCAATGTAATAATAATAGAGCAAAATAATAAATAGAATAATAATAGAGCAAAATAATGTAAATATAATAATAATAGAGTAAAATAATAAATTTAATAAAATAATACTACTAACAGAGTAAAAGAATAAATAACCTTGACTCAAGGGAAGCTTTTTCAGCCTAAAAAAGGGGCTGAAAAACTAGGCTTATATTTGAGCATATACAGTATATATTTATCTTTATTTCATTGCCTTCATAGAAGAAACATTTACTGATTTACAAGACATTCTGATGGAAATTGGATGACATTTGTGCGTTAAATGGTCTGCTGGAACCTTTTGGATGAGATGGGAGGCATTTTTCTCATGCAACTGGCTGCCTCCTTGGTTTTGGTCCAGTGTGGCATATAATGGAAGCACTTTCCGTGAATTTGGCTGTGAGATTGCTTGAGTATCAAGTCCCAGACTGCCGAGCCTTTCCCTGACCCTTCTGGATGGGCAGATGATGGTCCTTCTGTTCGCTAAATGGTGGCAGTTTTGGCTGCTGGGCCTTTCTAGGCAGATGGATGCCCCGCAGCAAAGCAGCAGCCTCTTCGGAAGATAGGACTTGTTAGTCCAAGGTTTGTGTATATGTATGTGGGTGGAGGCCTTGGGTAGAAATGCATTCCATCCAATTACAGGCATTTTATGTGTTAACTAGGATTTATTTATCGTGTCAGGAGCAACCAGACAGTTATATTACATTTTTAACAAAACAAAAAACAAACAAACAGACAAAACACAAAGTTTGCAAGCTTGGTAGTTGATTAAATGTCCTTTGACCAGTATCTGGCCACTTGGAGTGCCTCTGGTGTTGCCGCAAGGAGATCCTCTATCGTGCATGTGGGAGGGCTCAGGTTGCATTGCATCAGGTGGTCAGTGGTTTGCTCCTCTCCACACTCACATGTCGAGGATTCCACTTTGTGGCCCCATTTCTTAAGGTTAGCTCTGCATCCCGTGGTGCCAGAGCGCAGTCTGTTCAGCGCCTTCCAAGTCACCCAGTCCTCTGTGTGCCCAGGAGGGAGTCTCTCATTTGGTATCAGCCATTGATTGAGGTTTTGGGCTTGAGCCTGCCACTTTTGGACTCTCGCTTGCTGAGGTGTTCCAGCGAGTGTCTCTGTAGATCTTAGAAAACTATTTCTAGATTTAAGTCGTTGACGTGCTGGCTGATACCCAAACAGGGGATGAACTGGAGATGCCTCTGCCTTGGTCCTTTCACTATTGGCTGCTACTTCCTGGCGGATGTCAGGTGGTGCAATACCGGCTAGACAGTGTAATTTCTCCAGTGGTGTAAGGCGCAGACACCCTGTGATAATTCGGCATGTCTCATTAAGAGCTACATCCACTGTTTTAGTGTGGTGAGATGTGTTCCACCCTGGGCATGCATACTCAGCAGCAGAGTAGCACAGCGCAAGGGCAGATGTCTTCACTGTATCTGGTTGTGATCCCTAGGTTGTGCCAGTCAGCTTTTGTATGATGTATTCAGGCAGTGCTCCTTGTAGGTCAGAGCACGGTCCAGGGTGACTCCCAGGTATTTGGGTCTGCTGCAATGTTCCAGTGGGATTCCTTCCCAGGTAATCCTCAGAGCTCGGGATTCTTGTCTGTTCTTAAGGTGAAAAGCACATGTCTGTGTTTTAGATGGATTAGGGATCAGCTGGTTTTCCCTGTAATAGGCAGTAAGAGCACCTAGAGCTTCGAAGAGCTTCTGTTCAACCATCTCAAAGCTCCCTGCTTGAGCAGTAATGGCACAATCATCAGCAACTACGATAAGGCTGGTGTTAAACATGTTGTGTATCCAGTCTAGAGATGAAAACTTCTCCAAAAAATACTGAAGCCATGGGATGTACGGCCCCTTTTCAATCACGAGCACAAAGGAGCAAATGGGAAAACCTGAAATATAAGTAGTACTGGCTTCCTTATTGAGCCTAGGCTTATTTTCCTTCTTGAAGGACATGAATGACATTATTAATTAATTATCTGGCATAAAAGTCAAAGTATGCATGTATGTAGCCAGTCTGAGTCCCTCTATGGAGGTAGAGAAGATCGGGATATAAAAGTTTTAAATCTATATAAATAAAAATGTAATGTTCGTTTGGTGGATTAACATAATTCAAAAACTACTGGGCGAATTGACACCAAATTTGGACACTAGACACCTCTCAGGCCAACGAGTGACGATCACTCAGAAAATACTGAAAAACATAGCAAAGGAGACTTTAAAAGCCAAAAAACAAAAAATACATTACAACGCATGCGCAAAACCACACATATATATGCAAACACACACACATATATACACATATATATACACACAAAACACATATTCACAGACTGGGCACAGCAACACGTGGCAGGGGACGGCTAGTAAATAAATAAATATGTTTGCCTGTCTGATTGTACTAGAAAGGCTGTTGCTAGGTGAAGGGTTTACTTTTGCTAGGTGAAGTGGCCGTCTGTGATGTCAATGAATTGGCTGTTGCTAGGTGAAGGGTTGAGTGTTGCAAGGTGAAGTGGCCCTCTGTGATGTCAAAGGATTGGCTGTTGCTAGGTGAAGGGTTGACTGTTGCTAGGTGGAGTGGCCCTCTGTGATGTCAGTGGGTTGGCTGTCGCTAGGTGAAGGGTTGACTGTTGCTAGGTGGAGTGGCCCTCTGTGATGTCAATGAATTGGCTGTTGCTAGGTGAAGGCTTGACTGTTGCTCAGTGAAGAGGTTTTCTGTGATGCCAATGGATTGGCTGTTGCAAGGTGAATGGTTGACTGTTGCTAGGTGAAGTGGCCCTCTGTGATGTCAGTAGATTGGCTGTTGCTAGGTGAAGGGTTGACTGTTGCTGGGTGAAGAGGTTTTCTGTGATGCCAATGGATTGGCAGTTGCTAGGTGAAGGGTTGACTGTTGCTAGGTGAAGTGGTCCTCTGTGATGTCAAAGGATTGGCTGTTGCTAGGTGAAGTGGTCCTCTGTGATGTCAATGGATTGGCTGTTGCTAGGTGAAGGGTTGACTGTTGCTGTGTGAAGAGGTTTTCTGTGATGCCAATGGATTGGCTGTTGCAAGGTGAAGGGTTAACAGTTGCTAGGTGAAGTGGCCCTCTGTGATGTCGATGGATTGCCTGTTGCTAGGTGAAAGGTTGACTGTTGTTAGGTGAACTTGCAGGGAAGACAGCATAAGCTGGTTGCTCGGTCATATAAATACTTTAGTTTTGCGCAAGGAAAACTCTAAATATATCCAGGAAAGAGACCAAGCAAGCTATGGACTGCTTGCTCTTGCCACCTAAGCATATGTATATGTATATATGTATTTGCTATGTGTGTAATTCTCTGTTTCCCCAGAATTGTCTTCGCTGACTTCTTCATCATGAACCTGATCCTGTGGGTGAAAGGATCCTCCGCCGCCATCCCTTTCGGGACCCTGGTGGCCATCTTGGCCATGTGGTTTGGCATATCTGTCCCACTGACCTTTATCGGGGCATACTTTGGATTTAAGGAAAAGGTAGGACGGGAGTGCTGTGCATGTTTATGATAAATAATTGATTTTCCATAAATAATTAATGTACAGTTTTAAAACCTTTGGAACGGAGGAGCTAGGGGCCACTTTTTCCATTCAGCAGTACCAGAAACAGATCTTGCGGTGCATTGATGCCACAGGCAACAATGGCAATGCTTTTGACCTTTTTTTTAACTGGCATTTTCACCCTTACGTCCCTCACTCTACTGTGTGACCATTTACTGTATATACTCGAGTATAAGCCTAGTTTTCAGCCCTTGTTTTTGGGCTGAAAAAGTCCCCCTTCGGCTTATACTCGAGTCAAGGTTATTTATTATTTTACTCTGTTGTTATTATTATTATTTTCATTTCATTTATTATTTTATTCTATTTATTATTATTACATTTATCATTTTACTCTATTATTATACATTTATTATTTTACTGCATAATTGTTGTTATTGCTACATTCATTATTTTACTCTTTTTATTATTATTGTTACTACATTTATTATGTTACTCTCCTTATTATTATTGGAAGGATACGTTGAAGAATATTGAAGAATGTAAATAATCATTTGATCAGAGTTGGACAGTCTTATCTTAAATTACCGTATATTCCGGGGTACAAAACGACTGGGGCTATAAGACGACCCCCAACTCTCTATTTTAGCAAACAAAATAGAGAGTTGGGGATATACTCACTGTTTAAGAAGACTCCCCAAACCAGGCACTTCTCCGGCCACTCTCCTTCTTCCTGTCCAGGCCTTGCGAGAAGTGCATCTTCTCCCACGAGACAACCAGGGTTTGACCATTCCACAGATATATAAACCCAGATATATAAACCCATTTTCCTAGTTCCAACAGACCTTATTACCTCTGAGGATGCTTGCCATAGATGCAGGCGAAACATCAGGAGAGAATGCCTCTAGACCATGGCCATATAGCCCGAAAAAAACCTACAACAACCCAGTGATTCCGGCCATGAAAGCCTTCGACAATACATAGTAGCAAAATTACAGTTACGAAGTAGCAATGAAAATAATTTTATGGTTTGAGGTCACCACAACATGAGGAACTGTATTAAAAGGTCGTGGCATTAGGAAGGCTGAGAACCACTGGTTTAGAAGAACAAAGTTTCCATGACACAAATAAAGTTCAGCCTTCACACTGGAGCTTCACACACGAGGCTTTCTCTTACTGAGGCTTCCCTCACATTGTGAGGCCTTCTCTCCCACTGAGGCGAACTAACACTGAGGCCTACTAAGCTACAGGCTCGCCTGCTTATATAGAACTGCAGCTTTTGCTGAGCCATTGCGTCCATTTAACCGTTTTAGTGCTTGACTCACATTTTTGTAATTAAAAATACCTAGTTAATTTTTAGTATTTCTGATAGAAGTGTTTCAACAGAAGGGTTGATTTTGTGGTCCTCTTTCTTCCCTTTTCATACCATACTATAGAATCATAGAATCCTAGAGTTGGAAGAGACCTCATGGGCCATCCAGTCCAACCCCATTCTGCCAAGAAACAGGAATACTGCATTCAAAGCACCTGTCATGGCCGCCTCCTGGGCAGGCGCCCCGTCCTTCCTCCCTTCCTGGCTGCTTTCCTTGCACAGGCCCAGGCCTTGCGAGAAGTGCCTCTTCTCACATGAGACAACCTTGTCTAGCGGGAGAAGAGGCACTTTGCGTGAGGCCGGAGGAGGAGGAGGAGCTGAGCCCAAGGTCAAGGCAGCCATATTAAGTCATTTTATTATTATTTTAATTTTATACCCGGCGTACTAGACGACCCCCAAAATTTTATAAGGTTTTACATGCCTAAAAAGTCGTCTAGTACCCCGGAATATACGGTACCATTTTTGTAAATATTCAAAAATATATAACCTACTGATTCCTCAATTAATGTAATTTAATTGGTATCTATTTTTATTTTGCAACTAGCTGTGCCCGCCACGCTTTGCTGTGGCCAACCTTCCCTCTTTCTCTCCTTTCCCTCCTTCCTTCACTCCCTCTTTCCTTCCTTCCTTCCTTCCTTCCTTCCTTACTTACTTATCTCTTTCCTTCCTTCCCCCTTTTTCTTTTCTTCTGCTGTCTCTCTTTTCTTCCTTCTCTCTTTCCTTCTTTCCTTCCCTCCCTCTTTCTCTACATCTTCCCCCTCTTCCTTCGCTCCCTCTTTCCTTCCTTCTTTCCCTTTTTTCTTTCCTTCTCTCCTTCCTTCCTTCTCTAACTTTCCTTCCTTCCCCTTTTTCTTTCCCTCCCTCTTTCTCTCCTTTCTTCCTTTTCTACCTCTTTCGTTCCTTCTGTCTATGCTTCCATTCTTCCTTCTACCTTTCCTTCTATCCCTCCCTCTTTCTTTCTTTCTTTCTTTCTTTCTTTCTTTCTTTCTTTCTTTTCTCCCCTTCCCTCCCTCTTTCTTCCCTTTTTTCTGTATTGTCATTTAGCTTTTGGGGGCTTTTAAAGTCTCTTCTGCTGTGTTTTTCAGTGTTTTATGAGTGAAGGACATACATTGGGTTGTTAGGTGTCTTGTGTCCAAATTTGGTGTCAATTCCCCCAGTGGTTTTTGAGTTCTGTTAATCCCACAAACGAACATTACATTTTTATTTATATAGCGGCTGCATTTCCCACCCTTGGCTTATACTCCAGTCAATCCGTTTTCTCAGTTTTTTGTGGTAAAATTAGGTGCTTTGGCTTATCTTCGAGTCGGCTTATACACGAGTAAATACGGTACTTTGCATGCTTTCCCCTTGTTAATTGTGTTTAATTCCTCTCTGCAGCCCGTTGAGCACCCGGTACGCACAAACCAGATCCCGCGGCAAATCCCAGAGCAGTCCTTCTTCACGAAGCCCTTGCCGGGGATCATCATGGGCGGCATTCTGCCCTTTGGGTGCATCTTCATCCAGCTCTTTTTCATTTTGAACAGCATTTGGTGAGTGGTGTTCAACCTAGCGCTTATATAACACTGTCCTTTCTAGCCCGGCCTAGTAATCACGGATGCTGAAAAGTGTAATGCAGAAACTTCTGGAAAGCTATACGCTCCCCATTTCTGGATGGAAGACTAGTGTTTGAGCCCAAAGGATTTATGCATGAAGGAGGTTGCCTGCTGTCTTCCACCATCCGATCTTGCTTTCTTGAGCACTTATTTATGTCTTGTGTCAGAAGTGAGTTGAGAGTATTTATTTATTTACGACATTTATATGCTGCCCTTCTCACCCCGAAGGGGACTCAGAGCAGCTTTCAAGGTATATATTACATACAATATATTATATCATTAGCATAGTACAATATCAGTATTAAACATTGCTATATTGCACCATACCACTATATCGTAATCTATATATATATAAATGCTCTGTGCATAATGAGGACCTTAAAAACAAAAGAACCAATGAACGAAATCACACCAAATTTGACAACAAAACGTCTCACAACACAAGGAGTGACCATCACTCAAAAAATTATGATTTTGTCATTTGGGAGTTGTAGTTGCTGAGATTTATAGTTAGCCTACAATCAAAGCGCATTCCGAACTCCATCAACGATGGAATTGAACCAAACTAGGCACACAGAACTTGGCACCAAGAGAAAATACTGGAAGGGTTTGGTGGACATTGACATTGAGTTCTGGAGTTGTAGTTCACCTTCATCCAGACTCAAACAATGATGGATCTGGACCAAACTTGGCACAAGCACCCAATACGCCCAAATGTGAACACAGATGGAGTTTGGGGCAGTTTGTAGTCACTTGGATTCACAGTTCACCTAGAATAAAAAAGCATTCTGAACCCCATGAACGACAGAATCCAATCCAACTCCCTTCATCAGGGCAAGAAAACGTAATCAAAGTCCTCCTGATAAAGAGCCATCCAGCCATAGCTATAGAAAGAAAGAAAGAAAGAAAGAAAGAAAGAAAGAAAGAAAGAAAGAAAGAAAGAAAGAAAGAGAGTTGTAGTTACTGGGATTTATAGTTGACCTACAATCAAATAGCATGATGGAATTGAACAAACTGGGGCATACAGGACTCCCATGGCCAACAGAAAACACTAGAAGGGTTTGGTGGGCACTGACCTTGAGTTTGGGAGTTGTAGTTCACCTACACCCAGAGACTACAATGGACTCAAACAATGATGAATCTGGACCAAACTTGGCACGAATATTCCATATGCCCAAATATGAACACTGGTGAAGTTTGCGGGAAATAGACCTTGACATTTGGGAGTTGTAGTTATTGGGATTTATAGTTCACCTATAATCAAAGAGTGTTCTGAACCCCACCAATGACAGAATTGGGCCAAACTTCCCACACAGAAGCCCCATGACCAAGAGGAAATACTCAAGGCCATTCAGTCCAACTCCCTTCACCAGTGCAGGAAAATGTAATTAAAACCCTCCTGACAAAGAGCTATCCAGCTATAGATATAGATAGATATGATTCTCACACACAGATATATTATCATAGATTTGAAAGGGACCCCTGAAGAAGGACAGTGATATGTTGCATGTTCCAGAGTAGGCAAACCAGACACTCTCCACATCAACACTGACAAAGAAACAGCAAGAAATACTGTTTACCCACAATCAGAACGAAATTACATATATTATAAACCAACACTTTCTCATTACTTTATTTGCCATATCAACAGGCTAGGCCACAGCAATGCGTGGCAGGAGATAGCTAGTATTATTAGTAATATTACATGTAATATAAATATATAATTATAATATCTTATTATTATTATTATTATTATTATTATTATTATATTGCATTATATTATTATAAATACAGTTAAAATGCATTTATAAAAACACAAAGTTTTTTTAAAAAAACTTTCACACAGCTGTATAAAATCCACATTGAACTGGATTATATGGCAGTGTGTAATAATAATAATAATAATAATAATAATAATAATAATAATATATTTATACCCCTCCACCATCTTCCCAAGGGGAGTCGGAGCGGCTTACATGGGGCCAAGCCCAAACAACAATTACAGTAAAGAACAATCGAACGCAAATCGAAATGCAAACAATAAATAACAACATCATAATTACATAAAACATATGAATATACGACAGTATAAAATTACAGTAAACACACAGTGACAATGGGCGGGCCACATGTAATGGTTAAAAGAAGAACTATTTAAAACTGGTTAAAAACTCGGGTGAGATAAAAGAGAAAGACTAGGTTCTTGTAGGTTTTTTCGGGCTATAGGGCCATGTTCTAGAGGCATTTCTCCTGACGTTTCGCCTGCATCTGTGGCAAGCATCCTCAGAGGTAATGAGGTCTCACTACCTCTGAGGATGCTTGCCATAGATGCAGGAGAAACGTCAGGAGAAATGCTTCTAGAACATGGCCCTATAGCCCGAAAAAACCTACAAGAACCTAGTGATTCCAGCCATGAAAGCCTTCGACAATACAAAAGAGAAACAAATTATTTGTGGAGGAGGGCTCATTATAGTGGGAGTTGTGGAATCAAGCTTTCCCATGAGGGGGGAAACGTATATTCCAATGACAGAACATTGCAAGTGAGTGATAATGTGGGATTGAAGGTGCAACGGAAGAGCCAGGTTTTGAGGTCCTTTTTAAAGGCTAGGGGCTTTCCTAATTTCAAAGGGCAGAGATGTTGCCCGGGGGATGCCCAGATGTGTTACCATTCTGTGGGAGGCTTCTCTCATGTCCCCACAAGGGAAGCTGGAACAGACAAACGGGAGCTCACTGCGTCTCGTGGATTTGAACTGCCGACCTTCATGTCAGCAGTTCATCCGCCACCGCGGTTGATTCTTCAGGATTTCTTGGATTCTGCTATGAATTTGTCTCCAGAAGTTTTTTAGCCTTTTCCCAGATCCAGATGGAAGAGGAGGGCTTGATCGTGCCTTAAACCGAGCGCATTCTTTCTCTCCCTCCCTCCAGGTCCCACCAGATGTATTACATGTTCGGGTTCTTGTTCTTAGTCTTCATCATCCTTCTGATCACATGTTCGGAGGCGACGGTTTTGCTGTGCTATTTCCATCTGTGTGCCGAGGTAAAACAGCATGTTCCTTTGTGGCCAGGGCTCATGTGCTGCTGGGTGGGATCCATCCGGAAGCTTGGGAGGGGGCCGCATCTAATGGTTTTTCAATAAAGGGAATTATGGAGCTGTTGCTGCCATCTGCATTCTGCTCTTGAAACGAGAAGTGAGTGACGCTCTGCCTTGGAAAGGCAGGTCTCCTTTCCATGCAGTGAGCAATGGTTTGTGAGTATTGCTATGAAAAGGGAAGGAATGCTTTTTTTGTCTATTTGCTGTTGCCAACTTAACAGACTGCTGTATTTTTCAATGCCAAATCAGCCTTCCTAATGTACCATCAATATGGAATTGGCTCTGCATAGCAGCATAGTACCATGGCTTGAGCATTGCACTGCTCTGTAAACCAGGGTTGAAATCCCTATTATTATTATTATTATTATTATTATTATTATTATTAATAATAATAATAATAATAATAATAATAATAGTAAACTTTATTTATACCCCGCCACCATCTCCCCTATGGGGACTCTGAGCGGTTTACATGAGGCCAAGCCCAAATGACAATTACAATAAAGAAAAACCACAAACCGAAAACGCGAACAATAACAATAACATCATCTATATAAATAAAAATATAATGTTTGTTTGTGGTATTCACAGAACTCAAAACCACTGGATGAATTGACACCACATTTGGACACAAGACACCTAACAACCCAATGTATGTCCTTCACTAAAAAAAAAAATGATTTTGTCATTTGGGAGTTATAGTTGCTGGGATTTATAGTTCACCTACAATCAAAGAGCATTCTGAACTCTACCAATGATGGAATTGAACCAAACGTGGCATACAGGACTCCCATGACCAACAGAAAACACTAGAAGGGTTTGGTGGGTATTGGCCTTGAGTTTGGGAGTTGTAGTTCACCAACATCCAGAGAGCACTTTGGACTCTCTGGACCAAACTTAGCACGAATATTCCATATGCCCAAAATATGAACACAGATGGAGTTTGGGAGAATTAGACCTTGACATTTGGGAGTTGTAGTTACTGGGATTTATAGTTCACCAGTGTTTCTCAACCTGGGGGTCGGGACCCCTGGAGGGGTCATGAGGGGGTGTCAGAGGGGTCACCAAAAACCATCAGAAAACACAGTATTTTCTATTGATCATGGGGGTCCTGTGTGGGAAGTCTGGCCCAATTCTATCATTGATGAGGTTCAGAGTACTCTTTGATTGTATGTGAACTATACATCCCAGCAAATACAGTTCCCAAATGTCAAGGTCTATTTTACCCAAACACCACCAGTGTTTACATTTGGGCATATTGAGGATTCGTTCCAAGTGTGGTCCAAATCCATCATTATTTGAGTTCACAGTGCTCTGTGGATGTAGGTGAACTACAACTCCCAAACTCAAGGTCAATGCCCGCCAAACCCTTCCGGTATTTTCTGTTGATCGTGGGAGTTATGTGTGCCAAGATTGGTTCAATTCCATTGTTGGTGGAGTTCAGATGCCCTTTGATTGTAGGTAAACTATAAATTCCATCAACTACAATTCCCAAATGACAAAATCAATCCTCCCCGCAACCCCATCAGTATTCAAATTTGGGTGTATCGAGTATTTGTGTCAAATTTGGTGCAGTGTATGAAAATACATCCTGCATATCAGATATTTATGTGACAATTCATAACAGTAGAAAAATTCTAGTTATGCAGTAGCAACAAAAATAATTTTATGGTTGGGGGGGGTCACCACAACATCAGGAACTGTATTAAGGGGTCGCGGCATTAGGAAGGTTGAGAAACACTGATCTAGACACTATGCTCCTATTGATGCAGGGCAAAATCCCATTGGCTTTTTTTGCCGCCACATGACATTGTTGGCTCATGTTTAACTTGTTGTCCACGAGGACTCCAAGATCTTTTTCACACGTACTGCTCTCAAGCCAGGCATCGTCCCCCATTCTGTATCTTTGTCTGTTTCTGTCCTCTTAAGGCCTGGTTTAACATTGATGTTCTCATTTTTGGAAATGTAGATCCCATCAGTGTGAAATCTTCCCTGCTTTGTTGTCGCTGGGCATCTGTGTTGTCTTTCAGCCTCTCTTGTGTTGTGTTTCCAGGATTACCACTGGTGGTGGAGATCGTTCCTGACCAGCAGCTTCACTGCAGTGTATCTCTTCATCTACGCCATTCATTATTTCTTCTCGAAGCTCCAGATCACAGGCACCGCCAGCACCATTTTATACTTTGGGTACACCATGATCATGGTCCTGATTTTCTTCCTTTTCACAGGTGAGTCGGTTTCTCATATATTTTGAGAATGTGATAGCACCTAAAACTTAGCAAGATAAAAGCATAGTCTTTCAGTCTTTGTGCTGGAGACAAAATGTCAAGGTACAGATGCCACAAAGTCAGTCCCAAGTGCAAAGTAACAACACTTTATTGAAGATACAGCTCAAAAGAACAAAAAATGCTTAACAGCAGCAAAATAGTATTCCCAAAACAAAACACAGACCAACTGGTCAAAAAGGCAAATCAGGTTTCCAGGTGGAAGGCAGTCCCGGTCGGGGTTGGCTTGACGTGCCTTCCTCCTGGCACGTTTCTCTCTTTCACCCTCCATTCGTGCCTCTTCAAATTCTACAGCACTGCTGGTCACAGCTGACCTCCAGCTGGAGCGCTCAAGGGCCAGGGATTTCCAGTTCTCAGTGTCTATGCCAGAAATTTTAAGGTTGGCTTTGAGCCCATCTTTAAATCTCTTCTCCTGCCCACCAACGTTCCATTTTCCCTTCTTGAGTTCGGAGTAGAGCAACTGCTTTGGGAGACGGTGGTCGGGCATCCGGACAACGTGGCCGGTCCAATGGAGTTGATGGCGGAGGACCATCGCTTCAATGCTGGTGTTCTTTACTTCTTCCAGCACGCTGACGTTTGTCCGCCTGTCTTCCCAAGAGATTTGCAGGATTTTCCGGAGGCAGCGCTGATGGAATCGTTCCAGGAGTTGCATGTGACGTCTGTAGACAGTCCACGTTTCGCAGGCATATAGCAGGGTTGGGAGGACAAAAGCTATTGTCCCTGTCTGTTCAAGGCATGTGTGAATGCTGCAATTGATCACCTTGATTAGCGTTGAAGATCCTTGAAGCTTCAAGGCTTGGCAGATTCCTTCTTGGGGGAATCCTTTGTTGGGAGGTGTTAGCTGGCCCTGATTGTTTCCTGTCTGGAATTCCCTGTTTTCTGAGTGTTGCTCTTTATTTACTGACCTGAATTTAGACTTTTTTTTAAACACTGGTGACCAGATTTTGTTCGTTTTTATGGTTTCTTCCTTTCTGTTGAAATTGTCCACATACTTGTGAATTTCAGTGGCTTCTCTGTGTAGTCTGACATGGTGGTTGTTAGAATAGTCCAGCATTCCCATGTTCTCAAATAATATGCTGTGTCCAGGTTGGTTCATCAAGTGCTCTGCTATGGCTGATTTATCACGTTGAATTAGTCTGCTCCCAGTTTTTTTTTAACCGTATATTCTCGAGTATAAGCCCACCTGAATATAAGCCAAGGCACATAATTTTACCACAAAAAAATGAGAAAACGGATTGACTCGAGTATAAACCGAGGGTGGGAAATGCAGCAGCTACTGGTAAATTGCAAAATAAAAATACATACCAATTAAATTACATTAATTAAGGAATGAGTCATTTATATATTTTTGAATACTTACAAAAATGATAATTGAAGATGAGACTGTTCAACCCTGATTAAATGATTATTTAGCTTCTTCAATGTAAATGTGCTTACGTGTCCTTCCAACATAATAAATGTAATAACAACAATAATAGTAGCAATAACAACAATTATACAGTAAAATAATAAATGTATACTAATAGAGTAAAATGATAAATGTAATAATAATAAATAGAATAAAATAATAAATGAAATGAAAATAATAATAATAATAACAACAGAGTAAAATAATAAATAACCTTGACTCAGTAGGTTAAATCTTTTTGAATATTTACTGCAATTTCAGATAAGACTGTCCAGCTCTGATTTAATCATTATTCTAATCTTAAGTGTAAATGTGCTTATGTATCCTTCCAATAATAATAAAGATAGTAAAATAATAATAATAATAATAATAATAATACTAATGAAATCCAGCCTATATACCTCGTTTGCATATAAACCTCATACTACTGTTTTTGTGTCAGGATGATGATGGTAATAATAATAATAATAATAATAATAATAATAATAATAATAATAATAATAGAGTAAAATAATGGAAATGTACTAACAATGATAACTGAGTAAAATTATAAATGCAGTAACAATAAAAATAAATTAAAATAATAAATGTAATAATAATAGAGTAAATAAATCTATATATATAAATTTGTTAGGGGCATCCAACGGAGAAACAAAACTCAAAAACCCCCCAACGAAACTTAACCAAAATTCCCATGCCCATAACACAACCCACAAGGTACAAACATATCTACTCAAAATGAAAAACAACACAACAACACACTCACAAAACGGCAAAAGAACAAAACTCAAAAAAACCCCAACGAAACTTAACCACAATTCCCATGCCCATAACACAACCCACAAGGTACAAACATATCTACTCAAAATGAAAAACAACACAACAACACACTCACAAAACGGCAAAACAACAAAACTCAAAAATCCCCCAACGAAACTTAACCAAAATTCCCGTGCCCATTACACAACCCACAAGGTACAAACATATCTACTCAAAATGAAAAACAACACAACACACTCACAAAACGGCAAAAGAACAAAACTCAAAAAAACCCCAACAAAACTTAACCAAAATTCCCATGCCCATAACACAACCCACAAGGTTTAAACATATCTACTCAAAATGAAAAACAACACAACAACACACTCACAAAATGGCAAGACAACAAAACTCAAAAATCCCCCAACGAAACTTAACCAAAATTCCCATGCCCATAACACAACCCACAAGGTACAAACATATCTACTCAAAATGAAAAACAACACAACAACACACTCACAAAATGGCAAAACAACTGAGCATGCGCATTGGCGCCCAGCCGCAAGTTCCCTGGCGCGTGCACATGGCCTTCTGGCCAACGTTCCCTCTGCGGAAACCATGCCCACTCCAAGCCCCGCCGCGCCGCTTCCGGCACACACACCCCCCCTGCCGCACACACACACACAACCCCACACTCCATCACTCCCCCCGCCGCCGCACACACACACGCAACCCCACTCCCCCCCGCCGCACACACACACGCAACCCCACACTCCATCACTCCCCCCGCTGCCGCACGCACACACGCAACCCCACTCCCCCCGCCGCCGCACACACACACGCAACCCCACGCTCCATCCCTCCCCCCGCCGCACACACACACGCAACCCCACGCTCCATCACTCCCCCGCCGCCGCACACACACACGCAACCCCACGCTCCATCACTCCCCCCCGCCGCCGCACACACACGCAACCCCACGCTCCATCACTCCCCCCCCCGCCGCACACACACACGCAACCCCACGCTCCATCACTCCCCCCCCCCAATCTTACCTCCTTTTACTTCACGCCCCCTCCAAACCCCACCCCGCCCCTTCCCGCCCTGTCAAAATCTAGGAAAGACAGGAAGGAGGAAAGAAGGAAGAAAGAGAAAGGGAGGTAAAGAAAAAGGGGGAAGGAAGGAAAGTAGAGAAAGAAGGAAGAAGAAAAGGAAAGAAAGGAAAGATGGAAGGAAAAAGAGAGAAGGAAAGAAAAAATGGGAAGGAAGGAAAGAGATAGAGAAAGAAGTGAAGGAAGAGGGAGGGAAGAGGAGGGAAAGAAGGAGAGAAAGAGGAAAGGTTGGCCACAGCAACGTGGCGGGTAAAGGTTGTTATTTCTATTATTATTATTATTATTATTATTATTATTATTATTATTATTATTATGCTATTGTTCCTATGAGACCCTGGAGGAATGGGAGAGGTGTCAGGTCCCAGAGGCAATGCATTGCATTATTGTTATTTATGATGGTGGTGAAATAAAAGGAAATAAAAAGTGAAAGAAGGAAGCAAACAGGGAGGGAAGAAAGGCAAAGGAAGAAAGGGGGAGGGAATGAAGGAAAGAGAGAAGGATGAAACCAAGTAGTGAAAGAAAGAAAGAGGTAGAGAAGGAAGAAAGGAGAGAAAGGGGGAGGAAAAGGGGGAAGGAATAGGTAGGGACCTCTCTTTCATAATAGTCCAGATATCTACCTCAACTTTGTTAAGTTTTACTATAGGCCACAGCAACGCGTGGCAGGGCACAGCTAGTAATCTATATATATAAAATGGGAAAGGGCGTTCAACGGGACAGCAAAACGCAAAAAACCCCCAACGAAAACTCACCAAATTTGCCGTGCACATACCTCAACCCACAAGGTATGCACAACACTCATCAAAATTCCAAACAACATTTCAACAAACTCACAATTACAAAAACCAACTGAGCATGCGCAGTGCCCAGGGGAGGAAGTACACACGCAATGCACTCTGGGAACTGTAGTTCTAGAACGCGGCCTACCCGCTGACACTGAAGCCCCGGCCTGGGAGTTGGAGCTCGGCCGGCTGTGCTTGCTGGGGGCCAGGATGCTGCGTGACCTGTGGAGGCTGCCTGGGAGGCCCTCGCTGCGCGCCTTCCTGGCCCGGCCGGGAGAGGCCGCGGCCCGGCTCTGCCGAGGACAGCCCATCGGCCACCGCAACGCCCGGCCCAGGCCGCCCCCGCACACCGCCGTCTGGCTCCACCATCGGTGAGGAAGGGGAAGGAGGGAAGGAAGCGGGAGAGGGAAGGAAGGACGGAAGGAAGGGAGGAAAGAAGAAAAAAAAAAGAAGAAAAAAAAAAAAAAAAAAAAAAAGAAAGAAAAAAAAAAAGAAAGAAAAAAAAAAAAAGAAAAAAAAGAGAAAAAAAGAAAAAAAAGAAAAGAAGAGAAGAAAAAAAGAAAAAAAAAAACAAAAAAAAAGAAAAAAAGAAGAGAAAAAAAAAAAAAAAGATAAGAAAGAAAAGGAAAAAAAAAAAAAAGAAAAGAAAAGGAAAAAGAAAGAAAAGAAAAGAAAAGAAGAACAGAAGAAGAAAAGAGAACAGATCCTACACCCCTGCCCATCCTGGCTTCTAAAGGAGGCCAGAGGGGGATTGGCCGAGTGGGTAAAGGTGGTGGTTAATGCCTCCCTTCGGGAAGGCATATTCCAGCCAGCTTAAAGCAAGCTGTGATAAAACCGCTGTTGAAAAAACCATCACTGGACCCCACTCAATTCGTCAACTATCGG